CAATAGGCGCCTCATATCTCGGATACGCGCAATGGGCGATGCTTGAAAATCCTCCCGAAGACCTAGTCGCTTGTGCCATTAGTGTCGGCCCGCACGATTATAGCCAGTATGTCTGGGGCAGCGGCGCCTTCCGGCTTGATCGTATTTTCTGGAGCGATAGCATTTTGCTTCAAGAGGACAAGGACGTGTCCGCCTTTCAGCGCGTGATTAAACTTTTGACGACGAAAAGGAGATTACAGCCAGTCTTTGAGAGCGTACCGCTTTTAGAGGGAATAAAGAGTCATTTTGGAGACGGTGCTCCATGGCTAAAAGATCTCATCACTCACCCTGATCCGTCAGACGAGTTTTATGTGCCAGTGAATCACAGTGAGGCTCTAAACAAAGTCCAAGTTCCAGTGTTTCTCACATCAGGATGGTACGATACCTTTTTAGCCCAAAGCATGGAGCAGTATGCCCGGCTGCGAGAGCGCGGGCTCGATGTTGAGCTTCAAGTTGGTCCCTGGACGCATGTAATGGCATCGGGCCTCGGCAATATGGGTAACATCTATAAATGGATAGATGAGCAACTTGCAAGAAGAGGAACCAAACAGAAGAAGCTTCCTGTGCGTGTTTTTGTTGGGGGCGTAGGAAAATGGCGGGAATTACCCACCTGGCCGCCAGCCACCGAGATAGAGACGTTTTACCTCCAACCGGGCCACCGTTTATCAAAAGACGAACCGTCAGCAGACATATCTCCGTCCACCTTTGTATATGAGCCTACAGATCCTACGCCAACCGTGGGCGGCCCGCTGTTGACAGGAGGGGGTCGAGGTAGAGATGATGCACTTGCTGCTCGTTCGGACGTCCTTGTTTTCACTACTGATCCGCTTGAGACAGGCGTTGAAGTAATGGGGAAACCCTCAATCAAATTGTATCACTCAAGCGATAACCCGCATACCGATGTCTTTGTACGGTTGAGTGAAGTCGATCGGAAAGGCCGGTCTTACAACATCACTGAAACACTAAAGCGAGTCAATGCGACTACTATGAGCACTCCAGTAAAGCTAGAAATGTTGGATTGTGCACACACATTCAAGGAAGGAACAAGGATAAGACTACTTATCGCCGGAGGCAGTTTTCCAATGTACCTACGGAATTTTGGAACAGATGAAAGTCCGGGCACCGCAACGAACATGCGGCCTGCCACACACAAAATTGCGCATGGGATGGATGGAGCATCTGCACTGTATTTGCCTATTAGCATATACTGACAGCCACTTTCAACACAAACAGAAGTCGAGCGCTGGTTCTTACTCTTTTAGTCAATTTTTCCAAACATTGGTTATGTCAGATGCAGTGAAAAGATCTCTGTCCCATAATAGTTATGCAGTAGCCGGGAGCGGAAGTAGCAGGGATTGATGTTACAACTTAGTATTAGAAATAGTATAAGTATGATAGAATTTGCCTTTGAACAGTCTGCTCCATTTAAATCATTTCGAATTCTGAACTGGCAAGATGTCGACTATTGACGACACATTCCCACAACCTCTCTCTTAAGAGAGATCATCGACCGCTGAGCTATCGAGACTCCAAAGAGGGTATGGTGCAAGATCGTGCTCGATGATTGGCGGGAAACAGAACCTTATAGCATTACATACTCCCAAGCATCTCGAGCCGCTCATCAACTTTGCTGGTGGCTTGAAAGTGAGCTTGGCCCGGCCAAGAACTTGGAGTCTTTTGTATACATCGGCTCAAACGATGTCAGATACAGTCTCCTCATTATTGCAGCTCAAATGTACCAGTGCGTGGTTCGTATCGGTCACCGTTCATAGTATTACAGACTGACGAAATCCAGATGGTGATCACAGAGCTCAATAGATTGACTCACGAAGCCCTGCTTATCTTGTTAGAAGAAATGAAACGTTTCACTTGGATAGGCGGATCTGCCCAGTATGTCACACAAGCCGTGAGTCTGCCCTCGGAGAGAGCAGGTACTCAACTCTTTCAACTTCCTCCCCTGGAAGTCTGGCTGCAGGACGGGGCTATTCCTCGATATCCGTTCTCCGATAATTGGCAAATTGTAAGAAACAATCCAGTTTTTTGCATTCACTAATTAAAACTCCTTCATGTGTTAGCCAAGTCTTTTGCTGAGTGGCTAGAGAAGGCAATCGCAAGAAGTTAGTGTATACTGGAGAGATGATTGCTCTCGTCAATTAGTTCCCGATGTCATCTGACGGGATTCGTGAGAATGATCACTTAATATACCATCAAACCATCGGCAGCTACCCCCTATGGTGTGCGCCACCTCTATGGCTAGGTGGAATAATCGGCCAAATCGAGTGAACATTACTCCATGATGCGTGTGTGCTTTGGCCTCCTGCCAACGAGATTGCATTAACTCCGAGCGACGTAGTAGTCGAGATTGTGAAAAAATTGGGGTCTGGGGAATTAGACGGCGGTTTTGGGGTTCAGTCAACCATGAAAGATTTGTGTCTTGAAGAACGAACTCAGAAGCTACTGACCAAGCACCATTTCGTCAGTACCGATGTTTCCGTACCTGAGTGAGTATTGCCCTCAGGGCCCATATTCTCAGCACCGTGGCCGAGCCGACGACCTTGTGAACTTCGGTGGTTAACTAAAATAAGAGTGACCGATGTAGAAGCGGACTTGATCGCCACCCCTGGATCACAAGAACCATGGTAGGCGGAGAGGGTCGAAGCTTTCCATTCGTTATCATACGGTTGAATAAGAATGTCTTAACAAATGACCAGGCCGATCTATACATGAAGTTTGGAGGATTGTACAAGACTTGAGTGGCAGCGTGTCAGCTGAAATCAAGGTCCCGAGGAGTAATATCATTATCGCTAACCAGGCCAAGCCGTTACGGCAATTAGGGAAGGGAACATTGACTCACAGAGCCATCATTGTGGAATATGAAAATGAAATTAAGATATCTATAGAATTGATGATCTTTGCAATGTGTTCATCAAGAATGATGACAAACATAGCACTAGACTCTAAGCTCTAGAGGTCTCCGTATCAAAATGAATAAACTTGCTCTATCAAGCTACTCCATCAAAATGATGAAGATATCACGGGTTGTCCAGTCCTTGTATGTCAAGCTGAGAGGCTCAAAGTACTTCAACATCGTGCATGTAATTGAACAATTTCCTGACAGTTAAAATTGACTGCAAATCTGTGACAAGCTGTAGAGCGCGTACGAGCATATAAATCGGTAATGGAAAGTTCATTTAACTGTATCGATCATACAAAAGAGATTTGGATGCTTGCACACCATATATATATACTGAGTAGACCCCTGTCTGGGCTTGGGGAGCTTACTACTTAGTGGGGCTCCCGTTCTGTCACAAAATCATAGTAACTGTCCATCTTTCCCTAGAAGCGTCCTATTGCTACATTTGTTATAATTCGAGAACATTTCGTGCATCTCATCAAATCTCATTTCATGCCTGTCTCAATTATTTCGACAGCCAGTGATCAAACCACTCGACGATTCCCTTAAGGCTTTGTTCCTTTACCCAGCCTATCGAATCGTTAGCTTAATTTTTTTGAAGATCGCTCATAGCCGGGCCAGAAGTCTCGTACGCTGGTAATGGTCCTTTGGATCACCGCGTAATGCAAAGCCGTGTTCCACTTTCGAAAATAATTGCAAATGCCATATCTTGTCCTCTGATTGCAAGATATCCAAGGCCCGCCGCCTCGATTGTTGGTCAAAGGTATGGTCAACGGCCGAGCATGATAGGAAGAGTGGTTCTGGAGAGATGGTCAATGTGCTGTCATTGGATATATTGCCGGCAGCCAATTGCCATATATTGAAGTCACTGGGTCTTACTTTGAATATTGGTAAAATGATGCTCTTTGAGAAAGGCTGGATGTGCAAAAGCGCCCGCAGCAACTGTGTCTCCTGCCAATTCATTGCAAACATATGGGGCCCCAAAGCAGTACCCTACGCACGCGTATTTAGTGCTAAGATTGCCGTACTGAGCTTTAACACTGTCGACCCATTTCGGTACAGTGATGTCGGCAAATGCTATGTGCTTGCGTTTCCATGCCTCATAGTCGAAATCTGGATTCGAGTGATCATGCCGATTCTTTCGATGCTTCCATACCGGATCCTAAGTACCAAGTCAGTAAATAGGCACGGTAAAGTCGCGGCTGAGAGCGCCGACATACGCCACGAAAGTAATCAAGGCCCAATGTGAGATATCCAGCATCCGCAAAACCATCCATGACAAGCAATCCGTTTGGAAACATGCCCCAAACATCGGGGAAATAGAGTAAAATATGGCCATTGGCTTTGCTAGGGTGAGGTTTTACAATGTATGTCTCTACGTCGGCGATGGTTTCAAAAGTGCCCTGCGGCTCGCCTTGATGCAGATGACCTTTGAGGCAGCATTCGCCGCTGGGTTTTGCTAGGTATTGCTCTTCGATTAATGAACCCATGATTAATGGTTTTACTAGCCGAAGTTAGTCGATGATGAGAGTGTTGGGGCGTGTCAAACAACAGTCAAGACAATCGACAAAGACTGTGGGATGCATCAAACAATACTAAGAAAGTGATAAATGGATCAGTGGCAACGAATAGCCCTGTCCACCAGAAAGCCGTCACCGTGACTCTGGATCTCGGGTGCAGGCAAGCAAGGCGAATCTCCGGACTAGCGCACAAGCCCGACAATTTCGGAATGATTCCTCGGGGTTTGACCGAGATACGAATGACGCTGGGCTCATTGGCTATTATCTGCTTATATGGGTCTCTGCGGGGCCCCGCAAATGTTCGCCTGTCGAAAAAGACCTAACACCCTGCGATACGCGGCCGGGTATGCTGCTCGCTCAGTGGCCGGCCATTCTATTGATTGATAGATAATTGTTGTGATTTCCCATTCCTTCCGCATTCACATTCACTGAAAACTCTCTCTTCTGATTTTTCGTTCTGTGTGCAAGCCCATCTCAATAACTCAGCAGCCACTGTTGCTTTCCCAGATCCAAACACAAGCATTGCCATGACAAACACCATGTCAGGAGTTGAGGCTGCCATTAGCAGACATCCTGATGATGAAGAGAAGGTTCCCGTCCACGACGAGGATCCCCAGGCTCTCAAGTCTGATGTCATACACAATGTAACTATTGAATTCCTCCTGCGGGACGTAAGTTCGGGCTCTGCGACTTAAGCTGATTTTCTGGATGAGCAGGAGGATACGGCCAGGAATGCGGTTGGCTACAAAGAGTACCACGAGGCTCTTGATCTCGACATCTCGGAACGCGAGACACGACGGATTCGTTGGAAGATAGACTTCATCATCTTGCCATGTTTCTTGATTACACAAGCTCTCCAATTTATGGACAAGACTGCCCTCAACTATGCCAACCTCTTCGGATATCAGGGAGCGCTGGGTCTTAAAGGGCAGGAGTTTAATTATCTTTCAGCAAGTATGGCATTGAATCCGTCGAGGGCAACTCCGATCTGTTCTCATATTGACTTGTTTCCAGTGGTCTACGCTGGCTATTTCTTCGGTCAATATCCGTGCGGTTGGCTCATTGGAAGGTATCCCGCACAAAAGATAATGGCAATCAGCATTCTGTGCTGGGGGGTAATGGTCATTATCCTGACCCAATGCCGCTCATACTCTTCAGCTCGTGAGTTATCAAGCATATCTTGACTAATACTAGACTAACGTCTTCAGTGGCCGTACGATGTATGATTATCCCACTATATTCAGTCTCAACTTAACTATATCGTTCTAATCCAAGCTCACAGTCTTCATGGGTATCTTCGAAGCCGCTGTCACTCCGTAAGTCCCTGCTCCAAACGACTGATATAACAGCTGTTGGTGCGAATGTCAATACTGATCTATTTTATTCAAATAGAGGATTGACTCTTATGACTGGGTTCTGGTATACAAGACGCGAAATCCCTCTACGCCAGTGTATCTGGTAGTAAGTACAAGTGCCACATCTTCGACAATCCGAATACCGCTGACTCTGTAATTAGCTCTTCTCTTGGTTGGGGTGGCATAGTATGTGCACTAAGCCCGCATGAACCTGCGTTGTTTCGTCATGCTGATTTGATTTTTTTCAGGTCGGATCTTATATCTCAATGGGCGTATCAAAGCTGCCAGAAGATTTGAAACCAGAAAGATGGGAACTCATTTTCTACATTGTGAGTACATGGAATATTGGACCCGTTCTGATTGTTCATACACTAACCAGCGTTCTCGTTAGCTTGGAGGGGCGACCTGCATCTGGGCCTTTGTAATATGGTTTCTTTTGCCTGACTCGCCGTCAAGCGCATGGTTCCTGAAATACCGCGAACGTCTTATTGCTGTAAGACGTGTTGCAGGCAATGAAACAGGAATCAAGAATAAGGCATTCGACAAGAAGCAGATCAAAGTGGCATTCATTGATCCGAAAGCCATATTGCTATTTATCTCCGTCTTCGCAGCGTGAGTCACTCAGCCTCGCCAGTTGCGATCTTTGGGAGAGATTGCCAGAACCATACCACTAACACCTATTCAGGGCTATTCCTAACGGCGTGGTGAATTCTTTTTCTACTATTATCATCCGTGATATGGGATTTTCAACGACCAAAACAACTGAGCTCAAATCCGTCGGCGATGCTGTTCAGATTGTAGCCCTTTTCATTGGCGGCACCATTACACTGAATGTTGCAAACTGTGAGTTTATTAGTCCTTGTTTAGGGTAACCCTCGCCAATCTAAATGCGTCTAGCTCGACTGTTGACAGCAACTGCGGCCAACATTCTCTGCACCGTTTCTGCTGCTTTGCTAGCATATCTTCCTCGGTCCAACACCTGGGGTCGACTCGTTTGCTTTTGGCTGGTTAATTCGCAGTCTGTTGGCTTCACAGTGTCCCTTACAACGATCTCTTCTAACATGGCTGGATATACTCATCGTTCCCTCGCGAGTGCTATGATCTTGTAAGTCCTTTCTTTTCTGTAGCTCGGGAAGTCATCTCTAATAATCGTTCAGTACGGCATATTGCTGGGGTAACTTTGCTGGCCCTTTTGTTGTGAAGCAATCCGAGGCTCCTCATTTCCGCGGCGCAACTATCGGTTTACTCGTAGGGTATGCCATCAAGCTTGGCTGTCATCTGATTCTTCTCGGTAAGACCAACCACAGGAAACTTTGTACGGATCGAGGCTAACATTTTCTTCCAAGCTTACATGTTCATGAGCAATCGACGCCGCGATAGGACTTATGGACCTGCCAATAAAGAGGCAAGTGACGAAGCTGGAATGCAGGATCTCACAGAGTTTGAGAACAAGGATTTCCGATACGTCCTCTAAACTTGAATGGATTTGAGACTAGTCAGAAGCCAGGAACGCTGTGTTCCATCCTAGATATATGCACCGACTGGAGGTTTGACATGCAGATCTTATTATGTAGAAATCCATATGAAGATCCAATGTATCAACTTCGTGTTTTGCATTATGATCTTTCGTCACTTAACACCAAAGGAACTGTTTTCATTCGCCTCGCAAGGCCTGCGAGCTTCTTAGGCATCTTGCTCCAATTTAGTCATCCATGTCTCAGAAATTCCGTAAATGTGATTCCAAGATTCCCGTCTCGATGCCCTCAGGTTATTTTCGGGCGATGTTTTTTTCAATCAAACTTGCTAAGCTAGCTGATCATCGGATGTGTGTTCTTTTCGGCGGATCGCCGTAGGAGTGAGTGTCTAAGTGGCATCGACACCCCATAAATTTAGCATCCACCGGTGCACTTTCCCCTTTAAACCCCACTAAATTCTGATGTGGAGAGAGAGAGCATCGATATATGCTCGACACTACCTGGCGTTTCGGCGACTCTCCGCGGGTCTATACCGAGAGGTCAGGCACTGCGGCGATATTTACAACTGGTCTAGTCTAAGTGTTCTTGGGTTGGCTTCCTGTTGAACCACGGAATATGTTACCTTGTATCATAAATTCCGAGGACTTACTTGGTTTAACAAATCAGACAAGATGACACCACCTCGAGCGTTTGACTTTTCTGGTGATGTTGCCATCGTTACTGGTGCAGGGTCTCGTATGGATGGTATGTATCTTCAAAAATAAGCACTTTACTGTTTTTGCCTGACTTGATTGCTAGGTGAGATCGGAAATGGACGTGCAGCAGCTATTCTCCTCGCCCGTCATGGAGCAAAGGTTGCCCTAGTCGACTTCAACACTGACTGGGCGAATGAGACGAAAAGAATGATAGATGAAGAAAATGGCACATCGATAGTCATTCAAGCAGATGTTACTGACGAAGAGTCCTGTAAGAATGCTGTAGCAAAGACGGTACAGGAATGGGGCGCTGTTCACATCCTTGTCAACATTGGTAGATGCTCCTCCCATGTCCCTCGAGATCAAGATCGAAAACGGGGGACAACAGAAAGCTGACTTGTTGCAGTTGGTGTTGGTGGAGCTATGGGTGACGCCACAGCCATCAACATGGAGGCCTGGGATCGAGACTTCCGCATCAATGTGACAAGTATGGTTCTTATGAGCCGTCATGCTATCCCTGAGATGAGGAAGGCAAGACGGGGATCTATTGTGAACATGTCTTCAGTTAGCGGATGTAAGTGTTCTTGTATGATGAACATCTTAATCAGCGCCGCTGGTTTCTTACGTTTATCCCTTTAGTGATGGGAGGTAACCCCAGTCTATTGTATCCGACCACGAAAGGCGCAATCATTCAGATGACTAGAGCAATGGCCGCCCATCACGGCCAGGAGAACATCCGTGTAAACTGTGTTTGCCCAGGGATGGTCTACACCCCAATGACACGAGGACGCGGTATGACCGATGAAATGCGACAAGCACGGATCAACCAAAACCTTATGAAACTGGAGGGTACGGGCTGGGACGTTGGCTATGGTAAGTAGCATGTAGAAGTTTTCGTGCAGTAGTCTGACTCGTCGTCTTGTAGCTATTCTTTTCCTCGCTAGCAAGGAAGCTCGTTGGATAACCGGTCTCATTATGCCAGTTGATGGAGGTGTAAGTATCGCCTTTCCGTGTTAATGATCGAAGACTGACGTGGAAGCTAGACCACTGCAGGACGTGCCGACCGGCCTGCCTTGAAAGCAGACACATTGGCTGAGAACAATGTCGGAATACCCAATTAGTTCCGCAGGATCCACTGGATTGACTTGTATTGGTAAATTTTGCGGCGTCCTACAACTTATGAAACACAATAGGTGTAACTCGTTATATTAGTGTCCAAAAAGGATGATATTTGATTAGATCTCATGATACATTTACAATGACCCTTTAACCACGCTAATTGCTCATTTCCAGATAGACTACATAATTATAACATGTGATGTGGATGTGGCATTGCACTTTGAGCAAATTCAGGGGAAACATGGGCCCCCACAAAGGCTCCCATGTGCACTTCTGGGAAACAATCCAGGGCCGAGAAGGTGTCGATACTCATTCCACCCGGATTGCCGCTGATTTCGAAATCGCCAACACCCGAGAATCCAAAGTAAGGGAATGCCGGAATATAGGTATGAATGGCCGTAGTATCGTCGAAAATTGGCATCCTCCCCGGCGAGGGATTTTGGTCAATAGACGAGTTTAGACCTTTAAGAATAATGTTGAGACTTCGTTCAAGCAGAGGGCATCTTTTCGTCCCTGATTGTAATGCACGAATGAAAGTCTGAATCTTCGAGTTGGCCTCAGTGTTGCCGTTTCTCGCGTCTTGGAGGATAGCTGATGCACCCGTATAGATACAGTAGGCCATCAAATAAGTAATGTTGTCAAACCCAAAAGTTCGTTCGAGTAGGAGAAGTAACTTCTCGATACTATGTGCTGCATTTATACAAGCTTGATAATGGGCAGCAACAGACCAGAAGGGTCGATGTGCGAGGATAACTGTAGTGTAATAGAGAAGACTGAGATATGACAAGTTAGGCTCGATTCATTCAAGCTTCATGGACCATGTTTGAGCTTACTTCTGAGAAATGATATGGGGAGGAGGGCACACATCAGGAAGACTGGTCGGGTCGCATTTTAGATGTGGCGGAGACTCTGCTCGCCAAATCTCCAATTTTTGTGTGATTCTCCTTAGTGTGTTTGCTATATTTGCATTGTTCCGACGGCAATATAACTGAGATATAATGTCGTTGATAATGACAGACATCTTGCAAGAGTTGGCGAAGCATGAGACAAGGTGAGCCTTCATGGGTGGGTATTCACCAGGAGCTAAGGAAGTCAAACTGAAGGAATCCGAAAAATACGGGGACCATATTTCTAACTCGGATGAATCGTCCACTAATAGAGATTAGCAACGTATGGCTGAAGTATTGACCGGTTTAGCTTACAGAATTCGAAGGTTGCATTGTCCGGAAGCTCGGTCAGTGCAGGCATTCTACCCGTATACAAACTAATTGCTCTAGGTGACCGAGAGATTAGTTATAGCAAGATTTCAGTGGCACATTTCTTCAGGGATTCTCACTTGTCCCAGAAATAGCAACTCCAGAACAGTCTACGACGGACCTCGATGTCTACAGGACCGAGGTCTTTCAGGCCTGGTACAGCAGGCACACTGTGGTGCAATCCCAGATCCCGGGCCATTCGGAAGGCCATACCGCTATACAGCCAAGCATGGGATATGGAACCAAACGCCAAGTCTCGTGCACTCAGCTGCAGAAGTGCTTGCACGGTCGGAATTGAGACTGGTTGGTGAATGGCCGTTCCCAGCAAGAGTCTTGCCTTAGAAATGAGCATCTCTGCAACCTGGACATCATGGAATCTCGCAGCGTGTGCGCAGAGGACGACCAGCAAGAACTCGGAATAATAAGGTCCAGCGGTGGACATGTCGCCTACAAATGTCAGTTGACAAATGAGAAGCAATAATTCCTTGACTCACGCATAAAAGCAGGTCGATAAACCCACATAAACATAGGAGAAATCCAGGTCCAGTGAATATGAAGAAGCTTGGTTATGACCGGGCGGGGTATATCGCTCTGTGCTGCAGCTGCTCCGAGAGCAAAGTCCTCCCACATTCGAGACTCGCGAGATTTGGCAACGAGCATGGACCGAATCTTGGACTTGTTCAGTGCATCGGGATGGCCGGATGCGTGGGGGGAGGGCGAATCCAAAGCCGGAGGGTCGTGGACTGCAGAAGTCGGGCCATAGTAGCAGATTCTACCGTTCTCGTCCAAGCTCAAATCCAGCAGCAGCTCTTTCGGTGTTGAATCTCTAGATAATTCGTCACTATCGACTTGGGGATCGTCATCCGTTGGTGGCAACTTGCTACCATGTGATATGGATTGGCGAGCGGGACTTGGGTCTGGAAAGGTGTCGTCTTCCTCCGAGTGCCGTGAAGCTCGAGTCTGAGACGGAGATGCCGTTGCAACTGCAGCAGCGGCAGTTGCGGCGGCAGCCTCGCGAAGTTCGGCAATGGTCTGCTCTGCTTCTTGAAGGCGTTTCGCCATGGACAAGACTTGAGACATTGGAGGCAATTTCTCGTACCGACACTCGTCGTGATACGCCTCGCAGGTCTTACATGTTGGCTGGCTCCCTTCACAGCGAACCTGAAATGGTAGTTAGAAATGAGGTAAGTTCCAGAACCACGCTTTTGGCGCTCTCCGGGATCACTACTCGCCTTCCGTGCACGGCAGTTGTTACATGTCAGTCCCCGATGCTTGCGCCCGGTTGAGCGTGTCTGCGATCGTGGTGCCGATTTCGATTTTGTCGTCTCCTCATCCATGTTTGCTAATGTCGGCAATGTAACAATGGTCAAGATGACGGTGTCTTTGGCCATGCGGCTTTCGCTCCAAGGGAAGGATTGGCTCGTCTCCTCTCGCCACAGCAAATTCAAAGTTCAAGCGTCTCTCTCGCCAGTTCCTTGCTTCTGCGCTACACGTCCCTCTGGCTAGGATCTCGCGCATCCATTAGTGCGCTCACGACCAAGTAACAGCGCTGGATTTGACGATTCTTGAGTGATCTACGGGTGAGCAAGTCGTGCTCGGCAGGAGTTCTTTTGGGGCTGTCCTCCTTGGAGACACGCCTGACCTCCACATTCTGTGTGCGGGGGACCGACCCCACCCCCTACAGAATTTTGTTGCTGGTTGATGGCCATGTCCCATAGCACCGGCACAACCCCACAAGGCTTTTTACTGCCTCAGGCATCTATGTGCTCATTGTTAGTCAGCCACCGCTGCGCTCCCATGAGTTGCATCACAGGCACTTTTAGTATTCAATCCTACGCGTGCTGACAACTCCGCAAGTCTTAAGTATCTCCAGAGTCATTCCTTCAAGAGGCAAGAGGGAAAGATTCAAGTCGTGCGTCTCTGGTCGCTACCAAGCATAAATTCGCCTCATTAATGCATCTCAATTGCCGTTTCGTCAACTTTGAACGTCGTGTCAGTAATTTGGCTTCAACATCGATCACGATCTCGTCATATATTTCCATAATATCGTTGATGTAGACTAGACTAGACTAGACTGCAAAAGGTTTCTTATTTGAGAAGCATATATGTTGTGCCTAAAACTACAACAGAACAGTGGTACTCTCTGTTGACTCTCAATGATGCCATTGTAAAAGACTTTGGAATTTTCCAACATAAATAAGACAACATAATTGTGTTAAATTTCTAGTAGATCAATAACACTCAGGTGATATAGATTAGAAAGAAGTAGTTCAAGATATATACGAGACAGCGGGCCTGCCTCTCTAAGGGCCAATGTCTAGACAGTTTACCGATGAGATACATGGCTTTAATTTGGCTAACAAGCCTGAAGCTCAGTGTTCATTAGCGAGCAGTGAATCCGCTCGATTAGTAGAGGCTCCCAATGTCGAATGCTTTAATTAAGAGACCTAAAATCAATTTTCAGTTTATTAGAAACTCAATTGAATAAATTCCTTACATTATGGAAGGACCTTCAACATAGGGTTGCGTCTTCAAGTATCTAAAAATAAGTATATGATTCGTACAGACAGCTTCCCAGCTCGAAAAGATATGAATCTTAGTACAGTGTCATGTTAATTCTAAATCCTTGCCCAAGTTATTTTCGATACCACAATCTAGTAGTCTTTGTTTTTCGAATCTTCTTTTGCAATTGAAATATTCCGTAGAGCAATGCCTCAGCAGTCGGTGGGCATCCGGGCACATATATATCTACTGGAACGACTCTGTCAACGCCCCTGACGACACTATAGCTATAGTGGTAATAACCTCCGCTATTCGCACAAGAACCCATACTAATCACCCATTTCGGGTCCGGCATCTGATCGTAACATTGCCTAAGCGCCGGAGCCATCTTGTTCGTAAGGGTACCAGCGACAATCATGACATCAGCTTGACGAGGTGAAGCACGAAAAATGATTCCTAGGCGATCTTGATCGTATCGTGGCATCGAGGCATGCATCATCTCTATACTACAGCATGCTAGGCCAAAGCTCAATGGCCACATCGATCCATTGCGAGCCCATGCAACGATCTGGTCAAGCGTTGTTCTGTACAGAGAACGTGTCTTTGTCAGTGATAGACGCTCTTATAGACATGTCGAAATACAAATACACCTACAGGACATGGTCCATTAAGCTGGTTGACTTGAGCTCTCGTGATACAGCTCGTGTGCTCGAGGAATCGTTGGCTGACATTGCAGAGGAATATGGTCTTGTTGAAGATGGGAGCAGACTCATTGATGTTGAAGTAATTCGCGGGGACCTCGGTTTTGTGCTAGATCGCGAAATGAGATATCGGGTCCCGAAGCGAGCTGGTAGGACCTACAGTGAGCTTGGTACCTGACTGACACTTGACATTCACTTACTTATTCTCAGGAGAAGGGCCATCTTGACGGCTTCTCTTGAATGAAATCAAACTCATCTAAAACAGGCCGAGAGAATTCTACAATCGAGGAGGTAGTGCGACATTTGCTATGCTATTCAAGCGTAATATCTGATTGGCTAATAATTGGTAGCGTCGGGAAATACACACACGAACAGGAGGAATGGAGCACTGTGGAGCATTTTTAAGCAGCAAATTTCAACACTACAAGCCTTTCAGCGTCGGCAAAATCACTCATTCATCCCTGCGTAATTCACGGTTGGCCTATGCTGGCGAAATGTTATCCTCAAGCACACCTCAATGCGCGGTGTGCCATCTTCCAATCG